TATGCATTATGTCTCTCCAAGAGATAGACATTGCATACTAGGATTCCCAGATTTAATGGTAAAGAGACTCCATACGTTTATTGCCTGGAATGGTAAGAATGGCAGCTAACACAGTTCTGCTATCAGTCAACTCTCCTAATTCCTCAGCATGCCACTCTGTCCAAAATTGCATCTTGGGGGTCATTTTTGCTGATTCTTTTTCCTAACCATCTCCCTGTGCCTTCCAATATGTTTTCAAAGTCCTGTGCAGGCTCTTAATTATAGCTTGGTAACAGATTCTTTTTCCCCTCATGTGATAGAGGTCCCTTCATCTGATAATCACTAGTAGAAACCAAAACCAAACCCACTGGAATGGAGTCGATTCCAACTCATAGCTACCCCATAGGACAGAGTAGAACTGCCTTGTAGGGTTTCTAAGGAGCAGCTGGTGGATTCAAACTGCTGACCTTTTGGTTAGCAGCCAAGCTCTTAACCACTGCGCCACCATGGCTGCAGACACTAGTAGAAGACCTTGAATTTCAGTTTCCCAAGATAATCAAACCTAGAGTTTTGGTTCTTTGAAAGTCACAAGACATGGGGGATCTTGTGAGTGGGTAAGTGGTAGGAAGAGCATGGGCTCTGGAATTGGGCAGTCCCAGATTCTCATCCCTGCACCACCTGTGCCACAATAGGCTCATCTGTGAAATGGGGCTGGTGATACCTAACTGGCAGGATTGGTTAGAAGACTACATAATAACAAACCGTCTTCTACATAATAACAAACGTCTTCGAGCATTTACAATGTTAGGCTAAGCACTTGCATGCATTGTTTCCTTTAAACCTCACAGTAGTCTGTCACAGCATCTATGAAGTAAATAGTCATTATAGCCATGTTACTGATGGGGAAACTGAGGCTTGGGGATTTAGGTAGTTTGCTCAGTGTCACAAAGCAAGCAATCTGACTTCAGAATCATATAATCACTTGATTTAGAGGCACTTAATCACTACACTGTACTTTATTTTATCCCACCTCTAATCTAAAAGTTTATTTTGCACCTACCACCATGCCTAGTGATAGCTCCCTCCCCGCCTCAAAGGATGTGCTATGACAGCAGTACAGTCATACAGTTTGAGCTAGTGAAAACACGCAGAGGGTGGGTGTAAAGAAAGTAACACTGAGGATGCAAGTTACCCATACAGTTGGAAATGATTTTGCAAATGTATTTTGCTAGAGAGAGTCACCATGAAGGGCCTTGTAAGAAACTAGATGGAGTCTGTTTGGCTCTGCCCTCAGCTGCAGCTAGAGCTACTGCCTGTTCTGAGTGGCTAGTAGTGAACCTGTTACCCTTTGTAACTTAAAATATCCTTACTGTCTGAAACAGTCTGAGGGTCCCAGGGAAACAGACGCCTTTGAATTGTCCCCAAGAAAGAACCTGTGTTGCCCTCTCTTCTTGTTTATGTCTCGGTCTTCTTTCTTGGATAGCATAAGGGGTAGTTTGGGCATGAGGAAGAGGGAGCAATGGAAATGTGTTACAAGGTGCAACGCAAAAGAGGCCTGGATCACATCTAGTGTAACACAAATGGAGTGGAATGGTTGTAAGCGGATGCCAGAGATGTCTCACAGGACAGGCAGAATGTGCTCAAGGTGGTTTTGTGTTTATCACCGGGGAGTGGAAATTATGACATATGCTGCAAAAATAGGACTGGACTGGCTTCATCTCTTATATAACACTTGCTTCAGACTCACCTTTCTTGAATGCAGTGATGGTGGTCTGGAAGTTATTTTTGAACTGGTTTAAATCTCAGCTCAGTCACTTAACAGAAGTGAAGTGGCTTGCATGAAGTCACTCAGCTTGTAAATGGCAAAACTCACTAGCAACTCTGATTGGCAGTTAAATATTTTATTTTTTAATGGAAAAGATCATTAATAAGTGCAGTTTGGAAGGCAGGTTTTCTGAATAGGACTTCTGGGAGGTGGTGATAGAATTATGGAAGGCATCCTGATAGGGCCAACCAAACCAGTTGCCCTCGAGTTGATTCTGACTCATAGCAACCCTATAGGACAGAGTAGAACTGCCCCATAGGGTTTCCAAGGAGCGGCTGGTGGATTTGAACTGCCCACCTTTTGGTTAGCACCTGAGCTCTTAACCATTGCGCCACCAGGGCTCCAACAAAGAAGGATATCTGGTAGAAAGGACCTCTGATAGTCTCCTACCCTGGTTGTTTCAGCAAATCTGGTTTGGTTTCTCCAAAAGAACATGAAACATTGTTAGATCTCATTTTTGTGGAACTGTTATATAGCCACTTTTAATGCAGTCTCTTTCAAAATATATGAGTTCACCAATCCTGATACCTCTTTGTCATTCAGGCTTGGTTCTTGGCAGTGATTTTTTTTTTTTTTTTTTTGCTATTACACTGTCAAAGGTCAAGGATTACTGTATTTGAGGATAGTTGAAATAATGTTGCAGTTGAGTACCATTTCTCAGAAAGAAAAACTGTTGAGAATCTGTTGAGAATTATACAGTCATGCGCAGCGTAATGTAGGTTTGGGCAACGTCTGACCTCAGGTACATCCGCTGCCCCCACCTGCGGGAACAGGGGCCACTGCCGCTGGGAGGAGTGGGCAGAGTGGGCTCCCTATCCTGCTCCCGAGTGCCTAAAGGCATTGCGGGGCCAGCTGGGGTGGGGGCGCCAGGTCACTGAGACCACTCCCACGGTGCCTGAGCCTGAGCCTGGAGCCTCCCTACCCTGACCTTCGCGGGACTCTGGGGCTGCATGCCAGGAGGACCGGCAGAGTGCTCGCCTGAGGTGTCCTAGGGTTGCCCGGGCGCACACCGCACAGCAGCCCCGGGGCCACTGGCCTGGGAGCCCTGCCCCCACAGACCTAGGTTGCATATCATCCTGTTTCACAGAACATATGGTAGACTTTAATCCACACATGACTGTACTTTTGTGTCAAGGACCCCAAGACCATCTCCGCATTCTGAGATTGGCTAGAAGGACTTGTGGGACTCCGCGTCTACTTATACTCAAGGCTAAAATTTATTACAGTGTGGTAGTGAGGAGACACAGCCCAAGGGAAAAAGATGGGCAGAGTCGAGAGGAATCCCTGAGCAGGCCTCCTTATGTCCTCTCCCTCCCATGAGGAGTCCCACAGGTGATTCTTCCCTCAGCAAAGAAAATGCAGTAACATGGGTGCGATCTTTCTGCCCAGGGAAGCCCTCTAAGAGACTCAGCACGCCCAGTGTAATTGTTAGGGGCTGGTCACGTAGGCACCCTCTGCCTAGCATGTACCAAAATTCCAGACTCCCAGCAGGAAAGCAGGTGTTTAGCATGAGCCACATTGTAAGCACAGTAAGCCACCCTTGGCTGTTAGGGAAAGTTTTTTTCTTTTTTTTTTTTTTTAAATCAGTGTAGGGAACTGTTTACCAGCCAAGTTCCCAGAGGCCAGTCAGCGGCTAGGCTTGTAAGCAGGCCCTTCCAAGCATAGCAGTCTCAGGCCTGCTATGGTAACTATTTTCTGCACACTTTATAAATAAGTATTGTGAATAAAAAGAGCCCTTTGGTGTAGCCTTTTTTTTTTTTTTTTTAGTCCATAGTTTTCTAGGTTCTGTGACTTTTTTTTTTTTTTAAAGTAAACCTAAAATAGCCATATAGCAAGATGTTTGCTGTACAGTCTGATTTAGAGGAAGACCCAAAAGCAGCTGTTGGCTATTTAAAAGCAAAGGCAAGAGTGAGGTGGGGATATTCCCTCAGGAAAGTCTAGCTGACCACCTAGAAAAGACCCTATAGGATGGCTCCTACTTATAGTCACTTAAGTTACAGGGGTCTGTACTCTTTTTTGTAGGCTTAGAAATTTGCTTCCGTTGGTGTACTCAGAGGTGGTTCGTGCTAGCCAAATGCAAAAGAGACTGAGATAAACTAGAATACTCTTCCATCATTTCCCTGGGAGAAAAGTAACCATCAGGTAGCCTGGCCAGCACTTCCTCTCCTTTTGGGGAGACTAAGGCGTGAAGAAAGAAGTTTGCTTGGTGAACAAGGATGGGAGGGCTTCACATCTCCTGGAGTCCAGCTCAGGTAGCCGCCCATGCCCAGATGTGCAGTGTGACCTGGTCACTTGTGTTCGCTGGTACCCTTTCTCTGGAGACACTGGCAGTCGGGCCTCTCAGGCCTACCTGGCCTTTCTTAGAGACTGTTCTTTCTGTTGTCAGACCTTTCTCCAGTTCCAGACAGAACCAGCTGTGTCTTCCTGTTATTTCCAGGTGTTCTTCATTGGAGACCAGGTGGTCCCAACTACACGTTCAAGGACACCAGCTCGGTTGGGTTGGGCCCCAGATTGGGAAGTACCATGCTGTGTGGTGGCTGCCAGTGAATGTGAAGGGTTAGAGGAGGGGACGCTCACTGGGCTGGAGGGCATCAGGCGGCTTCTTGGATTAGCCAGGACTCAAGCCAGCACATGAAGGAAGGTGGGTTATAGTAATTCAGTGGGTAAAAGATGGGGGCTAAGTAATGAAATAATAGCTTTACAGGGAGGGGCCGCCGTATGGACAAAGGCAGAGCGGTAAGGAAACAAATTTTGGGCGAAAGGTCAGAGCTGTCTGGGAAGACCAGAGTTGGAGTCTCTGTTTACCTGGTACCTAGCAATTAAATCTGTCAGTCATTACACCTCTCTGAGCCTCCATTTTCTTATTTACATGATACCACCACCAGTTGCTGTCAAGTCTGTTCTGACCCATGGTGACCTCACGTGTGTCAGAGTAGAAATGTGCTCTATCAGGTTTTCATGGCTGTGACCTTTCAGAAGCAGATCACCAGGTCGTTCTTCTGAGACTCATCTGGGTGGGTTTGAACTGCCAGCTTTTCAGTTAGTAGCCCAGTGCTCAACAGTTTGCGCCACCCAGGAACTCCTGTTTGTGTGATAAAACCTGTTGCCTTGGAGTTGATTCTGACTCATAGTGACCCTGTAGGACAGAGTAGAACTGCCCCATAAGGTTTCCAAGGAGCGCCTGGTGGAGTCGAACTACTGACCTTTTGGTTAGCATCTGAACTCTTAACCACTAAGCCACCACGGTTTCCTTGATAGGGGTAGTAATAATATTCCTCACAGGATTGTTAGGATTAAATGGGATAAAGAAGGTTAAAGTGCTAAACAGAGTTTTGATCGTTACTGCTTGTCACATATTTTATATTTTTTCTTATTTTGTATATTTCTCATAATATTTCTTGTCCAGAGGGAAGGAGAGACCTCACTGTTCAAAAGTCTTCTTTCAAGGGATACGTGAGTTGTCCCTTTTTAAAGAAGATACGTTGTCAGAATCCTACAGGAGACGGGTGAAAGAGGTGAAATCAGATTGGTTGTGAATTGATAGTTTGAAAGCTGGGCATGGGTACATCTTAAAGAGTTCCTTCCGTTATTCTGTCTACTTTCATATATGTTTGAGATTTCCCATAATGTGGTTTTTTTTAAATGATAAATTAAAACATGGGTTCTTTACTAAAAAGAGTTTCATAGCAGGATTTCCTTAGCCTTTAATAAACTGACAATTTCATTTCTTTAAGGCCTTCCTAGCGTGGACACTGTGGCAGCCTTCTAATGGGGTCCATGCCTGCAGTTTCAGCATTCTCCATTCTGTTCTCCACCTGCAGTTCGAGTGACCCTCCCGAAGAAGGCCTGAGAGAGGGTGTGTTTAGTCACAGTACCCAGTTTTCTTTACTGCAGGACTCAACCTCCTCTGCTACTGTCTGTTGTACTTCTCTGAGAAAGCATTAGGCCGTGTAGCTTACTTGACGGATTTTATCCCTTGTTTTTAGGCACACAGTATTTTAGCCAATGCCAGGGTTTCTTGGAACCCAATTAGGGTAACAGTACTATGGCCTCATCTCTGGGCACGCCTGCCCACACGTCTCAGCCTTTTTACTTGCTGTCCCCTCTGCCTGCACGTACTCCTCCCTCCCACCCCTTCTCCACTTTTAACCCCCTAATTCTTCAAGACTTTACATTACCTCTTCCAGGAGGATGTTTCCCCTGGCACCCTCCCAGACCCTCCCTCAGCCCAGGACATAGGTCTCCTCTCTGCTTCCCCAGTTCTCCACGTACTTTTTAATAAGGCACTTTGCTCCTTTGCAGCTAAGCTGTCAGGTTAATTGTCAGTGTCCTGTACTAGACTTTAATAAGATCTGTACTTTTTGGTACCCACTGTGGGATAGGTACTGAACCTATCCTTGCCAGTATTGCATAGTCTTTGTAATGTTTTTTAAACTAAGAGCCTTTTATTATTTCAAAAGTAGTATATGTTCATGGTAGAAGTGTTAGAAAACACAGTTCAGCAAAAATAAGGAAGTAAAAGTATCATATACCGTCAACTATTGCCACTGTGAACACATTGTTATATATCTTTCCAGATTTTTAAATGCATGTACACCCGTTGGCGTCAAGTCGATTCCAACTCATGGCGACCCTATAGGGAAGAGTAGAACTGCCCCATAGGGTTTTCGAGAAGCGGCTGGTGGATTTGCACTGCCGAACTTTCGGTTAGCAGCCATAGGTCTTAACCACTACGCCACCAGGGCTCCAAATGCATGTATATCTTTATGAAGTTTTACCAAAATGAGATCATACTATATATGCTGTTTTATAATCTGTTCTTTTCAGTTAATAATCTTTAACTTTTCATATCAATAAATATTCATTTTATCTAATACCTAGTCCATACTCAGATTTCCCCAGTTGTCTCAAAAAAGTCATTTATAGCTAGTTTGTCCAAACTAGAATATAATCCAGGACCGCATATTTCATCTGGTTAATATATCCCTTATATTCTGTCTACTAACCTAGCAGAGCCCTCCTGTTTTTCTTTTCTTTTTTTTAAACAATTTTATTGAGGTATCATTTACATATCATAAAATCCATCTATGTTAAGTGTATAATTCAAAGATTCTTAGTAAATTTACAGAGTTGTACAACCATGACCACAATCAAATTTTAGAACATTTATGTCACCCCAGAAAGATCCCTTGTGCCCATTTGCAGTTACCTTCCATTCCCTACTCCCCCAGCCCCACAGAGCTACTGATCTACTTTTTGTCTCTGAAGACTACTCTTCTGGACATTGCATGTAAATGGAATCATACAAATCATACAATATGTGTTCCCAACCCCCTGTATTTCCTGTAAACTGGAAGCTATTTCACTTAGAATAATGTTTTTGAGTTTTAGGTATGTTGTTGCATGCGTCAGTAGTACCTCATTCCTTTTTATTGCTGAATAATACTCCGTCGTATGCCTGTGGTACGCTTTTTTTAATCCATTCATCAGTTGATGGACATTTGGATGGTTTCCATTTTCTTGCTATTATGAATACCATAATGCAGCTGTGAACATTCACCTACAAGTCTTTGTGTGGACGTATGTTTTCGTTTATTTTTGGTAGATACATAGGAGTGGAATTGTTGACTCATATGGTAAATTTATACTTAAGCTTTTAAGAAAATTCCAAACTATTTCCCAAACTTAATCCCCCTTTTTTTTTCATGGCAATGAGTTGTTAAAGAGACAAGCCAAAGGTTTCACATACTGCCCTTCTTTTGTGCTTATCTGGTTTGTTCCTCATGATGTCTTTTAGCTTGTTCTAATCTCCTGTATTTCCTGTAAACTGGAAGTTAGCTCTGAAGTTTTGTTGGATTCAGTTAAATGTTTTTGGCAAGAACACATCATGGGTTATGTTGTGTACTTCATATTGTGTCACATCAGCAGACACATCATATTTGAGTTTCATTTTTTTATAACTTGGTGTCAGGTCCAGCATTAACTGATGAACAGACTATCCTTTCCCACTGAATTATATTGATAACTTTATCAAAAGTTAGTTGATTATGTATGTGTGGGTCTATTTCCAGGCTCTTTAGAGAGCCCTCCTCAGCCTCCCTGAACTCCAGTCTTTGTCTCCTCATTCAGCAAGACCATTGTGCTTTGTGTAGGATTCCGCTTCCTATACCACAGTCCAGAACATGTCTCCAGGCAGAAAGCCAGGCTGAACTTAGGACTCACCTCACTAGTTTCTCCTCTCTCAAGGAGTTGTCTAGTTCTTTGCAGTAGGAGGGCAAATTGGATACCAGTTAGTCCTTCATACCTAGAAGCAAAAATCTATTCTCTTTCTTTTTGTTTTGGTTTCTTTCTCTCTCTCTGTTTCAGTTTGGGTAGTTTCTATTGCTGTGTCTTCGGGTTTTCTGATCTTTTCTTTTGTGGTGTCTAATCTGCTGTTAAGCTCATCTAGTGTATTTTTCATTTCAGATATTGTACTTTTCATTGCTAGAAGTTCCATTTGGTTCTTTTTTATATTTTCCATTTCTTTCCACGTTATGTTTTCCTTTTAAATCTTTGAGCATATTGAGTGTATTTACGATAGCTTTTCTAAAGTCCTTGTATGCTAATTCCATCATTTGTGTCCTTCCTGTCATTGATTAACTTTTTCCCTGGGTATGGGTCACATTTTCCTGATTTTGGGCATGCCTAGGAAATTTTGATTGTATGCTGAACATTGTAAGTGTTGTTTAGTATTTGGATTTTATTGCCTTGCTTTAAAGAGTATTGAAGTTTGTTTCAGCTGACAGTAAGTTACTTGCTGATCAGCTTGATCCTTTTGAAGCTTGTTTCTAAGTTTTATTAAAAAAAAAAAAAAAGGCAACTCACTGCTGTTGAGTCAGTTCTAACTCATGGTGACCCTATGTGTTATAGAGTAGAACTGAGCTCCATAGGATTTTCTTGGCTGTAATCTTTACGGAAGCAGATCATTAGGCCTTTCTTCCACTGAGCCACTCGGTGGGTTCAAACCACCAACCTTTTGGTTAGTAGATGAGCCCAAACCATTTGCGCTATCCAGAGACCTTAAGCTTTATTAGGGCTGGTCTAAAATACTCATTACTCTAGGACTAGGACCTTAATACCAAGCTGTGTTCTTTCTGGGGTCTTTCCACTGTTTGCTGTAAATATTCAATGAGGTCTCTCCACTCTGGCTGGACAGAATTAGAATATCTCCCAGTTATTCTGTACAGGTTACTCCTTCAGAGCCAGAAGTGGACATCTCAATGGAACATTCTTTTACTAGGTGCTACCTATCTTATTTGATCCCCACCACAACCCAGTGAAGTAGGTAATGTAATCTTCATTTTATAGATGAAGCTGATGAGGCCCAGGGAGTTTGGTTATGTGACTTGCTCATAGGTGGCAGGGCTGGGTCTTGAGCACAAGTCTCTCCCACTCCATTATAACCGTACCCTTTAAAAGCTCTATGAGCAGAAAGAGAGCCATTTTTATATTTTCTTAATTATGACACTCATAATTTATATCTTTAACATAAATTTTTTTTATTGTTGTAGTTTAGATGAAGTTTATGTTTCAAGTTAGTCTGTCATACAAAAATTTATACATACATATGACCCTAATTGCTCTCGCCATACTGACAGCACATTCCTCCTTTCCACCCCTGACTCCCCATGTCCACTCAACCATCTCCTAACCCTCTCTGCCTTCCCATCTCACCTCCAGACAGAAGTTGCCCGTTTAGTCTCTTGTAGCTACTTGAGCTAAGAGGCACACTCCTTATGAGTATCACTTTATGTCCCACAGTCCAGTCCAATCCCTGTCCGAAGAGTTGGCCTGGGAAATTGTTTTATTTCTGGTCTGATAGAGAACCTGGAGGCCATGCTTTCCAGGGTTCCTCCAGTCTCAGTGAGACCATTAAGTCTGGTCTTCTTACTAGAATTTGAGTTCTGTACCCCACCTTTGTCTTGTTCCATCAGGGACTCTCTGTTGTGTTCCCTGTCAGGGCGGTCATTGGTGGTAGCTGTGTACCGTCTAGTTCTTCTGGTCACAGGTTGATGAAGTCTCTGGTTTATGTGGCCCTTCCTGTCTCTTGGGCTAATATTTTCCTTGTGTCTTTGGTGTATTTAACATAAAATCGATCCTCATTATTCATAGATTATATATTTGTGAATTCATCAACTTGCTAAAAATTTTTTGTAACCCTAAAATCAATACTTGTGGCACTTTTGTGGTTTTTCACAGGCATACACACAGCAGTGAAAAAACTGAGTCACCCAGTATGCACATTCTCAGCTGGGGTTGAACAAGGTGACTCGACTCTGCCTTCTTGCTTCATCTCTCATACTGCAAACAAGTGTCCTTTTTAGTGCCACAGTCTTTGCATTTTTGTGCTTTTTGTTGGTGCTTTTATTGTTTAAAATGGATCCCAGCATACTGCTGAAGTGCTGTCTGTTGTTCCTAAGAGCAAGAAAGCTGTGATGTACCTTAAGGAGAAAATACATGTGTTAGATAAGCTTTGTTCAGGCATGAGTTAATGCTAATGATTAAGTAAGGTGCCTTTAAACAAACACACATAAAACAAGGTTGTATATTGATCGGTTGATGAAAATGCTGTGACCAAAGGCGCACAGGAACCTAACCCTGTATTCTCCTAGGAGCAGTGTGTTTGCTAATAAGTGTTCGTGGTGCCTTTTATAGAATACAACTACCGCAAATAACAAGAATTTCAGCTGTATCTTAAATCAGAAGGATATATATCTTAAAAATAGAAACTGATGGGATCATTGGCTTTTCTTTCAGAAAAGCTATCGTTGAATCATTTGTGGTACATCTAAGATCACTGTGTCTTAGAATAGAAGTATGTATGTCTCCAACGCCTAGTAGAGCTTTTTCACAGATAATATGTACTTAATAAATATTATGTATGCTAGGTTCAGGACTGTGGTGATTATAAAGCATAGTGTCCTTCTAAAAGTTTGATGCCTTTGCTTGTCTCTCCAGGTATTTTATGCATGGTGTGTGTCGGGAAGGAAACCAGTGCCTGTTCTCACATGACTTGGCGAACAGCAAGCCCTCCACCATCTGCAAATACTATCAGAAGGGTTACTGCGCCTATGGAACTCGTTGCAGGCAAGATCCTCCAGCTATCCCCACCTGTTAACCTGGAGTTCAGTACTATTAGGGATTCAGTTCCTTCGTTTGAAACATAGGTTCTGCTGAGGGAAAATTTTTAATTTAAAAATAACATGACAGTATTACCAAAAGTATAGCAGATAATATTAAAACCAAAATATTAATTTTTTCAAAATCACTTCTCAGGCTTTATTCTTATGAGTATATAGTTATAGAATTGCAGCATATAATATATATAAGATTTTATATCTTGCTTTTTTTCCCCACTTAGCATGTCATAAACTTTCTCCTATGCTGCTACTGTGTCTCCTAACTGTAATTCTATAATGGTTCATAATGTTAATGTACCATCATTTTATTAACTATACCTCTGTTAGATGCTTAAATGGCTTCCAGTTTTTTTTGCTACAAATACCCTGCAGTGAACGTTTATATACATATATTCTATAGGCAAAATTTTTTAACTTTTAGACAGGAAAAAATTCCAAAGGCCTGTTCCTGTGCTTTCGTGATTCCATCCTAAACTAATGTAATCAATTCCATCAAATATGGTACCTCTAAAAAGGCTCAGGAGTATGTGTGAGGGGAAGGCAGTCTCCTCTGCTATGAGAAACGGGTTGCCTCAGGGCAGTTTAGACCAACAGCTACCCTGTTCTTCCCTACACCGCAAGCTTCCTTCACTCCCTCACTGTGTTGAGTGGAGGCGATGGAAATTGGCTCACCTTTCCCTCCCCAGAGTGACAGTCAAGGAGAGTCCTGTCTCCTGGCTCTTACGTTGGCCATCATCAACATTTCGGGGGACTCCTGCCCAAAGTAACACTGGATTGGGAGTCAGGAGATGTCAGTTGAGCATCTGTTTGGAACATTCAGGCTCTCTGTGGGTGGTCTGGTACAGTACATCCATCCTGATAGAGTCCCTTGGGGACACTTGAGTGTAGGTGACAGACACTCTGAGTGGCAGGAGGCTCTTATTAATAGATGAGCCTTTTGTAGATGAAAATACTGGGGACGAGTACCTTGTTGTCTCCCTCAGCAAATGGCGCAGGAGGAGGAATGTTCCATGTCCAGGAGTGGAGGGAGGTGTGTGCGTGTGTGTGTCCACTAATGCATCTGCGTGTGCTTTGTTTAGATATGATCACACAAGACCCTCTGCTGCAGTGGGTGGTGCTGCGGGCACCGTCCCCCACGGTGTGCCCTCCCCGGGTTTCCACAGTTCTCACTCTCCTTCTGAACTCTCTGCATCTATTATGAAAACTAGCTTACACGAGCCTGGGAAACGTGAAAAGAGAACATTGGTGCTTAGAGACCGAAGTGAGTGAGCACAATCCTTTCATTGCCTCTTTTTGAAAAGCAGTCTTTTTTTTCCCACCTTGCTCATTCTTGATGCTCCTGACCTTGTCTTGTCAAGGGGACTCCTAACCTAATACCCCTCCAAATGTAGAGACACCAGAACTAGTCTGAGAAAGGTTCACGTGGCTGCAGTGTTTGGATGCTGCTTCTGCCTCATGCTCAAAGCTGGGCTGAGCCCCAAGTTTGTCTTGGTAAAACATAAAAAGTGATCTTTTTGTCAGTGTGTAATTGCTGTCTGCATAGGGTGGTTGCCCAGTTGGTGAGAAGCATCAAGCTACTCATTCCAAAGCTAAATGTGTTGACAAAGAGCACATTTCAGCATTTGATATTTAAGTCAATTCATAGACTTCACCTCATGTACTTTGAACATGTTACCAGGAGGGACCAGTACCTGGAGAAGGACATCATGCTTGGTAAAGTAGAGGTTTAGCAAAAAAAGAGGAAGACGCTCAATGATAAGGATTGACACAGTGGCTGCAGCAGTGGGCTCAAACATAACAACGATTGTGAGGATGGGGCAGGACCAGTCGGTGTTTCATTCTATTGTACATGGGGTCACTATGAGCTGGAACTGACTTGACGACATCTAACGTCTTTAGGATTTTTAGGCTGCACCTTCGGAAATAGAATAGTGTGTTGGAGTTTGAGATGTGGTCTCTACCCTGGAACAGGGTTTGGGAGGAAGAAGGCTGCAAATTGTTAAAGTTGTTTTTATTGGCTGGTCCCCACTCAGGTGAAGGGGTTTCTAGTTCTGGGAATTGTGCAGCATAAGATTCGCAGGCTCCATCCTAAACTAACAGGAAATCAATTCCATCAAATATGGTACCTCAAAAAAGGCTCATGAGTATGTGTGATGGGAAGGCAGTCACCTCTGGTTTGAGAAGGGGGTTGCCACAGCGTAATTTAACACTGGCTTCAGGACTCAAAGACTTACTCCAGATTTTTATCCAAGTTCACTTTAAAATATTAAGCAACTTTACTGATACAAAGCAAACGGCTAGATTCTGTTGACCTCATTCTAAATTCCCTCCCGACTTACGTATTTTCACAGAACCTTAGAGGAGTGGTGGGGAGTAGAAAGAACACAGGCCTTGGAGACAGATGGATCAGGGTCTCAATCTCCTCACTTCCTGGCTGTGTAAACTTGGGCGCAGTGTTTGCTTTTCTGCACTTCAGGTCCCATGAAATGGGGATTAAAATCTCTTCCTCACAGGATTACTGGGAGGATTATATCAGATCTTGTACATTTAAGTGCCTAGCCCAAGACCCAGCAGAGAGTGAACATTCAGAGATTGGTTGTCTTCCATTCCTTCATAATCAGTATTCCTGTTCTGTAATTTTTTTAAGTGCTAACTGGTCCATGTGTTGACATTTCTATACTTGCCATTTTCAAACATCTACGTTAGTATTTTTCTGTGTAAATATATGATGGCCTGCTTTGCTGTTTCCCTATCTTGACATTTGTGTTTTTCAGTTTTATTATTATAAGTAATGCCATTGTGACGATTTTATACTATTCCTTTTATTTTTCCCTCTTGACCTGTTTTTTGTTTGTTTGTTTGCAATATAGTCCCAAGAGTGAAACTCTGGAGCCCAGTCAGAGGTGCTTAATTTGTTAGGTTTTGGCTTTACTGCTTACCACAAAGATTGAGCCAGTTTTCACTTGTGTGTGTCCTGTATGTTTGCATTAGATCTCTGTGGCCTGGCTGAGGACAAGGCTCTGCCTTGTGTGGTGAGTAACCCAGGGGGCTGCAGCGACCCCCAGAACAGCCTGGAGATGAAGCCGCACTCCTACCTGGAAGCAATCAGGAGTGGCCTTGATGACTTAGAAGCCAGCAGCTCCTATACCAGCGAGCAGCAGCTGTGCCCCTATGCCGCTGCTGGGGAATGTCACTTTGGAGATGCTTGTGTCTACCTGCATGGGGAGGTGTGTGAGATCTGCAGGTTACAAGTCCTGCACCCCTTCGATCCGGAGCAAAGAAAAGCACATGAGAAGGTAAAGATGCCGACCTTTGCACGGGCTCCCTTTAAGGCATATGAACTGCACTGAGCGACAAAAGTGTGGGTAGCTCGAGGGGGGGGGGGGGGGGGGGGGGGAGAGAGAGAGAGAATGTGTGTGTGTGTGTGTGTGTAAGTAATACACACACACAAACATCCATAAACATAAATACTTCTGTGGTTGGGATCTAGCTGGGCTGGTTCTGGAGAATTTGAGGAGCCCAAAGCATAGAATCTGAGGAACCAAGTGTTGGACAGGACTTTTAAGGTCATTCATTCACCAAGCATTTGTTGAGGCTGCCTCATGTTCAGCTCAGCGCTTGGGTACAGGGGTGTGAAGGTGGATAAGAGAGACAGGGCTAGAAAGTGAGAGACAGTGTTACTTCAGTTTAGGGCTAGACACTAATGAGGGACGAGACAGTTTTGGGGGCCTGTTAGGGAAGGGCCCCTCTCTGGGTGGGCGCCTGACACAGTCTCCATGGACAGTGCGTTCCTGGGTAATTGAGAGTTGGACTGTCTGGCTGGTCGTGATGCCCGGGAGCCGCTGTGGGACATAGAGTCTGAGTCTGTCCCTCTCCTGTCTCCCTAGTGAGTTTCCAGGTGAGTCTAGAGTCAAAGTTTTTCTCTCTACCCAGACATGCAGAGGTCTTTGTGTTGTGCTCATTGGTTTGTCTCGCATGTGTGTACAGTAGCTCCCCAGGGCAGGGCCTGGGTCTCAGTAGTCCCTGGCACACAGTGCTAGTACCCAGGTTTTCAGGGCACACTTAGTGAATGAATGAATTCAGTAAGCCAGTTATTTTCTTGGAGAGGTGGTGCTGCTTACTGTGACCCTGGACTGCCAGCCTAGTGTTTCAGGTGAAGGAGTAGTCAGCATTGCTGATGTTGCATGGTTCATAGCGGGGAAGGGCACTGCCCAGAGGCACCAGGAGCCCAGGGTTCCAGGCCATCTGAACTCTACAAGCCCACAGTAGTCCCCTAACCTGTGTGGCCCTCTGTGGTCTTGGCTCTGAAATGGAGGTGACCAGATCATAGTAGGAGAGCAAAGGGCTGGCCCCGGTGATGGTGTGAGGTCCTTTTAGTGATCTGAGGGAGAGCTTAGTGTCTGAATCTGTGGGACTGCTGGGCCCTGCCTGAAGCAGGGTGTTTGTGGCTGGCAGCTGCTCTCAGGGCTCGCTGTACTCCTCTGTGGCCCAGCACCTGAGAAGCCTTTTCTTGTCCCTGTCTGTTCTTCAGATTTGCATGTCAACCTTTGAACACGAGATGGAAAAGGCCTTTGCCCTCCAGGCAAGTCAGGACAAAGTGTGCAGCATCTGCATGGAAGTGATCCTTGAGAAGGCATCTGCTTCCGAGAGGAGATTCGGGATTCTCTCCAACTGCAATCACACGTACTGCTTGTCCTGCATCCGGCAGTGGAGGTGTGCCAAGCAGTTTGAGAACCCAATCATCAAGTAAGTATAGTAGGGGATTAGCTGGAGATGCTGGGGAGAAGTTTGCATCTGGGACTTTGTCCATCTGTGCTGACGCCTCCCCTTTGCCCCCCAGAGGTGTTTTAGTGCAGAGATCACTGGGTTAGTCCAGGCTTCTCCCCCTTACTAGCTGTGTGATCTTGGACAAATCACTTAACCTTCCTGAGTCCAAATGCGTTTTCCTATAAAATATGGGTAACGAGTCCTACCAAACCTCCAGGGTGCTGGGGGGAGATTCAGCAGAGGTCATCTGTGTCAAAGAGGTTAAATGGCACTGGCTTGTTTGTCATCTCGCAGGCTTGAGTGAATCCAGTACTGACAGTTGCTAGTGGTATGACCGTAGACAAATTGCTTATTAACCTTCGTGAGCATCATTTTTTCATCTGTAAAATAGGGCTATTTCAGGACTAAGTGGCATGTAAATGCATGTAAAGCATTCCAAATGATGCATGATGTGCTCCGTGCAGCCTGCTATGTACATTCTGTTCACACATAGGACTCCTGTAATTCTCAGAGATCGAGAGACCCAGTGATCATCATCCTCATTTTACAGTTAAGAAAACGAGGCATGGTGAGGTCCAATAACTTGCCTAAAGCCACACATTTATGTGGTAAAGTCACAGCTTTATTGAGAGATAAGTGTGCAATTTAGGCAGCTCGTGAAGACAGAGTATTATAATGAAATGCGCAAAGACCTAGTGTTAGAAAAGGAAAAGGGAAGAACATGCTCGGCATTTCTCAAGCTGAAAGAACTGAAAAGAAAATTCAAGACTTGAGTTGCAATATTGAAGGATTCTACAGGGAAAATATTAAACGATGTAGGAAGCATCAAAAGAAGATGGAAGGAATACACAGAGTCACTGTACCAAAAAGAATTGGTTGGTGTTCAGCCATTTCAGGAGGTAGCGTATGGTCAAGAACCAATGGTACTGAAGGAAGAAGTCTATGCTGTGCTGAAAGGAAATGGTGAAAAACAAGGCTCCAGGAATTGACAGAATACCAACTGAGATGTTTCAACAGATGCATCACTGAAAGCGTTCACTCCTCTATGCCAAAAAGTTTGGAAGACAGCTACCTGGCCAGCTGACTAGAAGAGATCCATATTTGTGCCCATTCCAAAGAAAGGTGATCCAGCAGAGTGTGGAAATTATCAAACAATATCATTAATATCACACACAAGTAAAATTATGATAAAGATCATTTGAAAGCAGTTGCAGCAGTACATCGACAGGGAGCTGCTAGAAATTCAAGCTGGGTTCAGAAGAGGACATGGAACAAGGGATATCATTGCTGAGGTTAGATGGATTATGGCTGAAAGCAGAGAATACCAGAAGGATGTTTATCTGTGTTTTACTGACTATGTAAAGGCATCTGACTGTGGATCATAACAAATTATGGATAACATTATGAAGAATAGGAATCCAGAAAACTTAATTGTGCTCATACCGAACCTGTACATGGACCAAGATGCAGTTGTTCGAACAGAACAAGGGGATACTGTGTGATTTAAAATCAGGAAGGGTGTGCATCAGGTTTGTATCCTTTCACCATACTTATTCAATCTGTATGCTGAGCAAATAATCCGAGAAGCTGAACTATATGTAGATGAACGTGGATCAGGATTGGAGGAAGGCTCATTAATCTGCGATGTGCAGATGACACAACCTTCCTTGCTGAAAGTGAAGACTTGAAGCACTTACTGATGAAGATCAAAGACTATAGCCTTCAGTATGGATTACACCTTAGCATAAAGAAAACAAATTCTGACAACTGGACCGACCAATAAGCAACATCATGATAAATGGAGAAAAAATTGAAGTTGTCAAGGATTTCATTTTACTTGGATCCACAATCAGCGCCCATGGAAGCAGCAGTCAGGAAATCAAACAACGCATTACACTGGGCAAATCTGCTGCAAAAGACCTCTGTAAAGTGGTAAAAAGCAAAGATGTCACTTTAAGGATTAAGGTGCACCTCACCCAAGCCATGGTGTTTTCAGTCACCTCATATGCATGTGAAAACTGGACAGTGAATAAAGAAGACCGAAGAACAATTGATGCCTTTGAATTATAGTGTTGGGGAAGAATATTGAATATACCGTGGACTGCCAGAAGAACGAACAAATTGGTCTTGGAAGAAATATAGCCAGAATGCTCCTTAGAAGGAAGGATGGCAAAACTTCGTTTCATATGCTTTGAACATGTTACCAGGAGGGACTAGTCCCTGGAGGACAATCACACTTGGTAAAGTAGAGGGTCAGCGAAAAAGAGGAAGACCCTTAATGAGATGGATTGACACAGTGGCTGTAACAATGGGCTAAAGTATAACAACAGTTAGTGAGGATGGCACAGTGTTTCGTTCTCTTGTACATAGTGTCACTATGAGTTGGGACCAACTCGATGGCACCTAATAGCAAAGTATATTCACAGAATTATGCAACTATTACTTCAATCTAATTTTAGATCATTTTCATCACCCCAAAAAGAAAGCTCCACTGTAGTCAGTGCCCATTTCCCCTTCTTTCCAGCCCCTGGCAACCACTGATACACTTTGTGTCTCTATAGATTTGCTTGTTCTATGTATTTCATATAAATGAAATTGTACAATATGTGGTCCTTTGTGACTGGATTCTTTCAGCATAGTGTTTTCAGGGTTCATCCATGTTGTAGATGTATGATTACTTCATTCCTTTTATTGGTGAATAATATTCCGTTGTATGGATGTACCATGTTTTATTTAGCCATTCCTCAGTTGATGAACGTTTGGGTTGTTTCTACTTTTTGGTTATTATGAATAATGCTGCTATGGACATTGGTGTACAAGTTTTTGCTGGGACATATGCTTTCATTTCTCTTGGGTATATATCTAGGTGTGGAATTGCTGGGTTATATGGTAACTCTATGTTTAACATTTTGAGGAACTGCCCAACTCTTTTTCACCGCAGCTGCACAATTTTACATCCCCACCAGCAGTGTACGAGGGTTCCAGTTTCTCCACATCCTCTCCAACACTTGTTATTGTCTGTATTTCTGATTTTAGCTATCAATAGTGGATATGAAAGGAGCCCTAGTGGCACAGTGGTTAAACGCTTGGATGTTAACTGAAAAGGTCAGCAGTTCAAACCCATCAGCTGCTTCACGGGAGAAAGATGTGGCAGTCTGCTTCCATAAAGATTTACAGCCTTGGAGACCCTATGGGGAAGTTCTACTCTGTCCTATAGGGTCGCTGTGAGTCGGAATCAACACAGTGCATTTGGGCTGGGTTTTAGTGGATATGAAAGTGGTATCTCATTGTAGTATTGATTTGCATTTCCCTAATGACTAATGATGTTAAGTATCTTTTTATGTATTTATTTACCATCTTGGAGTAATGCCTATTCAAATCCTTTCCCCTTTTTTAAATTGGGCTTTTTATTGTTTAAAATAACTTGTTTTTAACAGCACTTTATTTTTCCATAAATAGTGCACCCACGCAAGTAATGTGCACACATATAACACGCAGAAACAATGAAATTGTGTAAAAATTTCTGGCATAGCGCACCCATGCATATACCGTGCATACCTCATGACATTTCCTGAAGTGAATTTCAGCCTCATTTACCCTCATTCAATAATCAAAAACTGTTACTTTTGATCGTATTTGTATAATAACAGTATAAGCCATGGTCAAGAAGTCATGGATTAAGTTTGGTAGTAACCCGGTAATTGGAAAATAAACAGTTGAAACTCTGTGTTTGTTTCTATTAATTTAAATTGATAATTATATCCCTGTCTCTTTTGAGTCATCAGTGGAAATCTTGAGCCTACCAAAGCCTGTCCATAAATCATGTGTTAACAATTAGAAGGTTAAACAAAGCGAAGCCTACAATGGCATAAATGGCATTGAGTAGCTAGCAATTTGAAATCTCAGTTCAGTCTGCATGGACATAGTTATCACAGTCATCTCTGACTTTTTATTGGAGGAGTAAACAAAGCAAAACTGATACACAGTTGCTCTTGGCTCAACAGTTGAGTGTGAAAACTTATCAGATCATCTTAAATGAAACCATTAAGCTGTGTTAGGTCTGCTTATTTCATAGTCTAGTTATGTCTTACTAGCACCAATTTCTTTGATCAGAAGTCACTTTAGTCATATGCTTGCAAGTATATAAAAAGACCCTTGCTTCTTGTACACTTCACATTTGAATTCTGTGATCTCTTTACTAGAACCAGCCAGTTATCGATTATATTGTACAGATTTTTTCAGTTTATAAATCTAAATCTTAGAACCCTTTAGGATCATGGCCGGAATTAAATGGAAGTTCTACACTGCCGACTTCAAACTGAAAGTCATCGCAAGGGCCGAAGAAATAAGCAAGAGAGTATGAGGTTGGAGAGTTGTCCGTTCGCAGATGGAGAAAGGAGAAAAAGAAGCTGGAAAAAATGAATCCACTGAATTGCGTACTTCATGGGCCCAAAGCAAAATGGCCTGAGTTGGAGAACGACTTGAAAGAGTGGATTATTTCTTAAAGGGAACAAAATCAAACTGTCTCTACTGTTGCAGTTCAGATCAAAGCAAAGCTTCTGGCAAATGAAAGAGGAATCTCTGATTGCAAGGCGGGTTTCACCTGGATTTCTAAATTCATGAAAAGGAATGTCCTTTCTGTGAGAATGAGAACCATTGATGTTGATGATGAATGAATAAACTAAAATGGCCTATTTTCAGATGAAAACACAGTTTCTTCTGGTGACTTCTATTTGTTGATTTCAAAGACATTGATTATCAAAAATTATATTTCAGTTTAAGATTCTGAATTCAATAAAATATAAACGACATTTTGTAGTTTTAGGCCTAGGTTTATTTCTTACTTATTTCTAGCTCTTTGTGCATTCATACTCTTTGGTTTCAACACAGTGAAACCATCACAATCCTGTCTCCATCACAATCCTATTCAGTCAACCATTGGTTACATTTGGTTTAGGAAAATACCTACCTTAAATGAAGCTTCCACGAGATCAGTTTTGTCCGGGTAACATTAAATCCGTTGGACAAAAAAAATAATTGAAATTGAAGTCAGCAACATGAAAAAACACTGGTGTAGTGTTTTACGACAAGAACGTATAGGGGGTTGCAAGGTTTGCAAAAACGTATGACATGCGTGTTATTTGTGTAAAAAATACAGTAAGGTTCTTGTAGTTCCCACATGATTGCGATTGCACCTTTGGGATTTTTGGTTAAGAAAATAATCATGCATTTGAGCAAGGGGTTTAGTGGTGGAATATGCACAGGATTTATAACTTAATCTCTCCCTCACTCACCTGATTGTTGTTTCAGGTCTTGTCCAGAATGCCGTGTGATATCAGAATTTGTCATTCCAAGTGTATACTGGGTAGAAGATCAGAATAAAAAGAATGAGTTGATTGAAGCTTTCAAACAGGGAATGGGGTAAGTGTTTTGAGTTCTGACATGATCCTGATGTCTGCCCAGCTCTGGTTTCGGTCCTTGTCATCACCTGCAGGGGGCCTGACAGACTCTGACAGTCTCTTCCTCCTCTCAGCAACATGCTGCACTCTATGGGTGCAGAGCTAAGCAGGTTTGTGGTGTGCCTGCCTGCAGGAGCTCCCATCTGGGGGCGATGAATGCTGTATTAACTTCCACAACTGCTTATAAGTCATTTCCTTTTGATAATGGGCTTGTTTAGTTTCTAAGCTGAGCAGTATCCCCTAGAAGTCTTGATTTCTGTTGGTAAAGTTGGCTTGTCATCTTTGATCATTCATTCATTCATTTGACAAATACCTATTGAGGATCTCCTATATGATAGGCCTTTTCTAGTTGCTGAGGATTCAACACTGAATAAATCAGACAGAAACCCCAGCCCTCACACAGCTCACTTAACAAATAAGAATAATAAGAAACAAGATAAATAATGAAAATATTTAATAATCAGTGGTGATCAGTGCTGAGAGAAATCCAGGGAATAGGAGGTACAGGGTGAGGGGGGGTTGCAATCTGAGTGTGCGAGACCAGGGGACACCTCAGTGAGGTGACATTTGAGCAGAGACATAGAGGAAGTGAGACTATTGGGAAAAGGGCATTCCAGATGAAGGAATAGTCAATGCAAAGACTCTTGAGGCAGGAGCTTGTCTGGCTTGTTTGAAGAGCAGCAAGGAGTGGCTGGATGAGACTGCAGGGAGAGGATATTGGAGATGAGGTCAGAGTGGTAATGGGGCAGGGGCAGGGAGCAAATTTTGTAGGGCTTTATAGTCATTGTAGGAGTCCTGGTGGTGCAGTAGTTAAAGCACTTGGCTGCAAACCTAAAGGTCAGCAGTTCAAACCCACCAGCTGCTCTGTGGTAGAAAGATGTGCAGCCTGTTTCTGTAAAGATTACAGCCTTGGAAACACTATGGGGCAGTTCTGCTCTGTCCTATAATGTTGCTATGAGTCAGAATTGACTTGATGGCAGTGGGTTGGTAGTTATTGTATGGGCTAGACGTTTTATTCTGAATGACATGGTGTCTTAGTTATCTGGTGCTGCTATAACAGAAATACCATAAGTGGATGGCTTTAAGAAAGAGAAATTTATTCTCTCACAGTCTAGGAGGCTAAAAGTCCGAATACAGGGCGCCAACGCCAGGAGAAGGCTTGCTTTCTCTGTCGGCTTTGGAGGAAGGTCCTTGTTATCAATTTTCCCCTGGTCTAGGAGCTTCTCAGTGCAGGGGCCCTGGGTCCAAAGGACACGCTTTGCTCCTGGCACTACTTTCTTAGTGGTATGCGGTCCCCCTGTCCTCTGCTTTCTTCTCTTTTGTATCTCGAAAGAGATTGACTCAAGATATAACCTAATCTTGTAGATTGAATTCTGTCTCATTAACATAACTGCCTCTAATCCTGCCTCATTAACATCCTAGAGATAAGATTTACAACACATAGGAAAATCACATCAGATGACAAAATGGTGGACAATCACACAATACTGGGAATCATGGCCTAGCCAAGTTGACACACGTTTTTGGGAGACAAAATTCAATCCACAACAGATGGGGATCTATACTTAGGGTTTTGATCAGAGGAATGACATGATCTAATTTACATTCTAAAAGGACTGCTCTTGGGGTAGGGGTCTGGGGACCCTGCTTCCAGGGGACATCTAGGTCAATTGGCATACCAAAGCTTATTAAGAAAACGTTCTGCATCCTACTTTTGTGAGTGGCATCTGGGGTCTTAAAAGCTTGCAAGCAGCCATCTAAGATGCATCAGTTGGTCCCAACCACCTGGAGTAAAGGAGAATGAAGAACACCAAAAACCCGAGGGAAGTATTAGCCCAACAGACAGAAAGGGCCACATAAACCAGAGACTGCATCAGCCTGAGACCAGAAGAACTAGATGGTGGTGCACAGCTACCACCGGTGACCACCCTGACGGGTAACACAACAGAGTCCCGGGTGGAACATGAGAAAGGTGGGGTGCAGAACTCAAATTCTAGTAAGAAGACCAGACTTAATGGTCTGACTGAGACTGGAGGTACCCCAGAAAGCATAGCCCCTGGATTCTCTATCAGCCCAGAAATAAAACAGTTTCCGAGGCCAACTCTTCAGACAGGGATTGGACTGGACTGTGGGACATAAAGTGATTCTCATGAGGACTGTGCCTCTTAGCTCAAGTAGATACAAGAGACTAAACGGGCAGCTTCTGTCCGGAGGTGAGATGGGAAGGCAGAGAGGGTTAGGAGCTGGTTGAATGGACATGGGGAGTCGGGTGGAAAGGAGGAGTGTGCTGTCACAGTATGGGGAGAGCACTAGGGTCACATAACAATGTATGTATAAATTTTTGTATGGGAAAAAACAAAAGAAGAACAACCTTAAAAAAAGAACTGCTGTTACTGCTCAGGTTGATCTACTAGAGTATATTGAAAGAGGAGGCAGAGGTGGCAGTGGAAAGACCAGTTAGGCTCTTGCAGCCATCCAGACAGCCAATATATGACAGTGGCTTGGACAAGGGTAGTAGGAGTAGAGGTGGTGAGAAGTGGTTGGATTTCTGCGTGTTCTGAAAGTACCGTCTACAGGATTTGCTGATATATTGAGTATGGTGTGGGTGTGAGAGGGAAGAGGGGTTGGTGTGGGTTATTGTGGTTATGAGAGAGAAGAGGGGTTGAAGATTCAGATTCCACTTCAGCATTATCACTTCTCATTTCTTTGTAGTACTTTTATCTTCATTATTCAATTTCCACTTTACCCATTTTTGTAAAATGTCTACTGGGTCTATCACTGGGAAACAGGGAGGCAGGACAACTGCACGCTTTGCTGTCTGTGTGAACTCAATAACAGATGTGCAGTAACCAATTACTGACAGACTTTGACAGAAGTAATGTGGGTTGGTCATGATCATGGTGCCCATCTGTTACTTATGCAGTGATTTGTGGACTGAAGAGCTAACTGGCAAGAGGCTTGTACTTAAGGCAGTTCCAGTGATGTACTGTGGTAATTGAATTTGAACTGTCTTGCTGGGAGACAAGTGTTATTTAACTAAACCGTGGTGTGTAAGTTTCCTAGGCCTGCAATAATAAATTACCACAAACTGGGTGGTTTAAAATAGCAGATATTTATTCTGTCAGTTTTGGAGGTTAGAAGACTGAAATCAAGGTATCAGCAGGGTTGTTCCTTCTGGAGGGTTTGAGGGAGAATCTGTTCCATGTCTGTCTCAACTTCTGGTGGCTGCCAGCAATTCTTAGCATTCTTTGTCTTATGGCAGCATAACTCCATTCTCTGCCTTCATCTTCACATAGCCCACTCTCTACTGTGTCTCTTTTTACCCCTTCCGTCTCTTACAGAGAAAGATGTCATTGGATTTAGGAGCCACCCAAGTCTTGAGATCCTTAACTTAAGTAAATCTGCAAAGACCCATTTTTCAAATAAGGTCACATTCGCAGGAACTAGGAGTTATGATTTGGACATATCTTTTCAACGCACTACTCATGTTAACTGAAATTATGCATATCAGAACTGTACAAAGCAAGGACCTCCTGTATGCCAGTTTTACCCACTCTTCTGCTGATGGACACTTGTGCTGTTTCCAATTTTTGCTATTCTGAGTATTTTTAGAATTCCATCTTAACTTACAGCTTCTAAGTTATACCTTTAATTTTAAATGGTTCTAAGGATAATATACTCTTGATTTTTCACAGTCTACTTAGAATTAGTATTCTACCACCTTAAAGTGCAGTTACCTCCTCATTACCATCTTTTTTACTATAGATAATAATGCATATGCATTAATTCTACATCCATTGTAAGTCCCACAAGGTAATAGGTAATTTTTGCCTTTAAAATAAACTTGTGTAGTTTTTAAATTGAGGGGAAAAGGTTTTTTATATTTTTATAAATTTTTTTAATATTTACCCAGATATACTATTTCCAGTGTTCTTTATTCCTTTCTTCCATTTGGTATAATTTCTCTTCAGCGTCAAGAACTGCCTTTTAACATTCTGGTAGTATAGATCTGCTGCAATGAATTCTCTTGGCTTTATTTATTTATTTTCATTCTCAAAGTATATTTTTGTTGAACATATATTGGTCTAATTGGTCTCCCTGTTTCCACCTTTGCCACCTCTTTCGTGAATAGAATTCTGAGTTGAGTTTTGTTTTCTCTCAGCACTTTGCACATGCTGTTCCACTATAATCTGGCCTCTATAGTTTCTGATGACAAGTCAGTGGTAATTCAAATTGTAGTGTATCTTGGGATGCTTTCAAAATTTTTGTCCTGATTTGCAGCAGTTTGACATTTTGCCTAAGAGTGGTTTTCTTCATATTATACTGCTTGGTATTCTCTGAGTCTGTAAATTTATGTCATTCATCAAAGTTGGGAAAATTTTGCCCATTGTTTCATCAAATATTTTCCTGCCCTGTTTTATTCTCCTTCTGGGACTGTCATTACACATGATAAACTTTTTCTTCTTTTTTTTGTTTTTGCTCTTTTTCAGATTAGATGGTTTCTGTTGATCCATTTTCAAGTTCACTGACTCTTCTTTCAATCTGCTTAAGTCCACTAGTGACTTTCTTTTAATTTCAGATATTTTATTTTTCAGTTCTAGCATTTCCGTTTGGTCCTTTTTTATAGTTTCTCTCCTGAGATTGCTTATCTTTTCATTCATTGGATGTATATTCTTTCATGTCTTTGACTGTATTTATAGTAGCTGTTTTAAAATCCTTGTCATCTTGAGGTTGTGCTCTGTTGATTGTCTTTTCTCTTGAAAATGGGTCACATCTTGATGTGTTTTGGATTGTATCCTAGACATTGTAAACGTTATGTGTACTCTGAATTCTGTTAGGTTCATCTGTAAGGTGGTGTTTTTGTTTTAGCAGACAGTTAAATTATTTGGACTTGAACTCTTCGGCAGCAATTTAAATCTCAGTTCAGTTGATTGTCCTTAGCTGAGCTGCAGTGAGCCTGCC